TCCTCCCTATTTTCTTTCACTGGAACTTGATTATTCAAATCTTATGGACGCTTAATGGTTTTTATTTAATGTTGAAATTTGTAATCTTGCATTTGTATCTTGATGTTGGGGTTGCTAAATCCCCAGAACTCACTTGGTAAATGCCTTGTTTTTGTAATTTTATTTTTGAAATTTAAATTTCTTGTTCTCACACCAAAAGCGCCTATTTTTACCTTCACATCGTATTTCCCACTTGGCAGGACCTTAGATGTCATTGGTCCGTTGTCTCTTTTAGTATGCTATTTTGTAACGTTTCCAAAGGACATTTTAATACTGTATATATACACTTAAGTTGTGTTTGTTGTTGTTGTTCGTTTTTCTGGCTGCTTGTGGAATACATTTTCTCTCTTCTGAACCTGGACTTCTCTCTCTAGTTAGCGGGACGCATCGTAATAGTTAGCTGGTCATTGTGTCGCTCAGTCTTCGTTCCTTTCTCAGATATAGGTGAACAAGTAATCTCTTCTAATATAACACTTGATAAAAGTGATTTCAGTTGTTCCAACAGCTCAAATAAAGAAAAATTCTAAATAACCAAACACTATCGATCCATGATAACAATAAATGATATTGAACCCATGTCCTGTAAAAGACAATAATATTGTGCTATTTCTTCAAGATCCATGCTCTCACCAAGTTAATAGAAGCCTTATAATTTGAGCGTGTATTATACATACAAGCTGTAGGACGAAGTAAAATAAATCTAAGTCGTTAGACATTTATAGTGAAACCTCGGACCTACCAATAATGAAGCTTAAAAGGTATCAATATGGGAAATAAATAGCTAGACGAAAGTGCTGCTGTTATTTATTTATTTATTATTATTATTATTATTATTAGCCATATTGACGTAATAAAATGCCTAAGGTATAGTGATTTCCAAATCATCCCAGCAAGAATAAATTTGAACATAGTTTATATGTAAACCAAATGACTAGATATGTAGTCCAGGTAAAATTATAGTATTTCAACTCGTTTAAAAAAAATGATATACTTTTTTTAAGTTCAGGTCTTCTTTAGCAATTGCCTTTAAACAATTTCGACGTATATGTCTCTAACCTTATAAATCGTTTGTGGTGAATTCATTTACTGAATTTATTATGAGACTTGTAAATAATTCATTAAATCCACTAGCCGAACCTTTTTTAAAGTAATCTGCAGTTTATAAATTATCTTTCTTATAGATTCATGGGATAGATTTATAGAAAATACACTTTTTAAAAAAATTTTTCTTGAATTTGTAAGATTGTCAGGAGTAGATTTAATCCTATTGATTCCTCCACAAAATCAGCATTTTCCCTTGTAATCTTATTATTTGATAACCTTCCTGTCTTCATCTTAACATTACAGCGGCCTGATAATTCATATCCACATGAAATGCGGCTTCTTTGACACTATATCCATCTTCAATAACTTTTTTTATGTGGCATTGCCTCTTTTTACTTGAAATTAAATAGTTTTTTTCTATTCATCTCTGGCATGTAAGGATTATGAAAATTTTCTAAGAAACTCTGGTTATTTCAAAAATCGCAGAAAATTTTTAAAATATTTTTGGTTATTTGAAATTTTAAAAAGACGAGTTGAAATACTATAGAAGAATGCAGTAACTATTTGTTCACTGATAGTTGCATAGAAACAACCTATGCTGGAAAATCAGTTTAATGTGAGTTTTTTTAAGATATTAAAACTTCTGAGTTTGAAGTTGGCAGGTTCATTTTCATTAGATAGGTTTATCGTAATTATTTTGCGTGAAATCAAGTTATCATTGCAATTAACAACATTTTACCATTTAATTGTCATTCATTTTATGAATATAAGTCAATGCTTTAACGTCCCCTTACTCCTGTTTACTTTCGTGGGGCATAGGTCGCTGACCGGAGATCTCTAATTTATTCTGTTCTCAGCTATTCTTTCCAGTTGTCCTGAAGTTCCATCCATTCTTTTTATGTCTGCCTCCAGTTTTCTGCACAGTGTGTTCTTCGATCTGCCTCTACCTGAATCAATTTTAGGGTTGCTGCCGGTCTGAAGCCCGATGAATCATAAGAGAAGAGAATCTTTCTAAAAAACACTAATGTTCTCAACTATTATGTAAATGTTTTGTAATTCAATACGTGCTAGATTAATGATAGTACATTGCAGATTAGCTTATGTAATTAATATTACTGAAGTTTGGCAGAAATTAGGTCCCAACTATATAAAAAACACAGGCGTGGAAATTATACTTGAAACAACTTCTTTGATTGAATTTTAAGTACTTCTAATTTTTTTCTCGCCATTCCGGTGCTAGCTTCCTTGAGGAAATCATTAAGTTTATGATAGACTTTTCTTCAAACATATTCGAAGTTTGTTTTTATGTGCATTAAGAATTTGAACCATGAAAACAATCTGACGTATGAGGATGTGTCTGTAGCTGTATGTTGTAAGCTAACTAACAGAATATGTAAGCCTGTGAAAGTATGTACTGACAGAAAATAATCGGATAGTGTGCTGTGATATTAATCAAAAGTAACAATCGAAGTAAGCATTGTTCTCCTGTCCAACGAGTTCATCTAATCAATTTCGTCTCACATTTACATGAAATCAACATTTGAACGTATTTGGACGTGTGTCTAGTATAGACCGAGTGGAAGGCTAGAATTATTCAGATTTCTTTCACTGGTATTATTTTATATATAAGCTTCATACCAAATATCACTGAAGGTCAGAAATCATATTCTCGTAGAATTAGAATATATATTAACCTGAAAATTTTAGAATTAGTGTATTTATAATCGCTAAAAAGTTCCTAATATCCGTAAAATTGTTTATCAGCATCATTATACTTTTAAAGTTATCATAATCCCTTTGTTGTATTAACGGTCTAGAGTTTCATGTATGTAAGGATTTTAAACTATTTAAAATCAACTCGTGAATGCAAACAATACATTTACACTGTAGGAAATCTTACCGTGTAAACATGCCATATATTTTTTTAATTAAAGAACCGTAATTATGACGCTAATAAGAGTAGTCGTTGAAAATAAATAGCAGTGGCTTGTTGTTGGATTCCATTTGCTATATTGATCACCTTCTTATTAAGCAAATTAAGTGGCTCACACTACAAGTCCAACTTTTTTCAAAACTTTTTAACCTATATCACTTAGCATCACTCTTGACCTAAATACGCTTTTACGTATCTATAATTATTCATGAATAATACACTGGTAACGAGCACAACAGACACTTGATATGTTTTAGAAGAAAGATTACGATTTTGTTTGTAGTTTACATCACGAACGGACTTTAGTTAAAAAACCACAAAAAAACTAGGAAGGATTGAATATTTGTTTCTTCCTATTATGGAACTTCTAATCAATGTGCATCCACAACCATACCGCTGATCAGATCCTAAATCTCCCTCACTCGTTTTCTTTCCCTAATTTGTATCTATAAAATCGATAATAACAAAAGCTGAAACTTTGGAAAACGATAAAGATCTGATACGGTTCTTCTGATATTACTTACTTACACATATTACTCCCAATGGAGCATAGGTCGCCGACCAGTATTCCCCAACCCGATCTGTCCTGGGCCTTCTGATATATATATATAAGACAGCTTTGCATGAATTATTGAATACTTGAAGACATTTCATCGCTTGTTGTTAATAAACGTATCAAAATAATTTATGTAATTTAGTGATTTATTCAATATGGAAATGCATGTTGCTGGTCTATACATCTTTTGTGTACAATGAAGTGAGAATATCACTATGTGTTTGTTATTGTTTTTTTTCTCATGTTACATTGTACTATAGACTAACTAATCGATTTCTACATGGATGTTTGTTTTGGTGATTGAATTAACTATAACTGAAAGAAAATAGTTACGTTTCGAAATAATAATATACTGTATTGTAGTGAATCGATTAATTATGTATTGTAGTTTTTTTTGTTTGAAGAAAACCATTATGCTATTAAAGTTGGTCAAGTGTTTGAAAATAATTCGATGAAAGGCTTATTTAAACAGACGTTTATAAGTGAACATTCTTTTTGGTATACTTTTATGTATAAACTCTGGTGTAACAGAATTATTTCAGTGTCTATATGTAGCCGACAGGAAGTATTCGCTGGAGCGGGTGAAAAATACTGCAGTGTAGTCAAACGAATACATAATACGATCACTCAGATCATTGGCTCTTTTTTTTATAATACTAACGTACATTTGATATATTTTTGATGGATTTTTATTGAATAAATCATGTAATGGTTCGAAGGTATCAATACCAAGGTTGGACTTCACAGTTCGAACCTGTCCATTTTATTCCGTGCTTCCGCCCAAATATGGAGTTCTTCATAATCCAGTCAATCGCCCGAGGAAAGAGAAAGGAGGATAGTAGGCAACCTTGTCTGACACCGGTGTTTACATCGAACGAGTCTGTGAGCTGTCCTCCATGCACGATTTCTCAGTTTAGTCCATCATAGGAATTCCGTATGATGTTGACTATTTTCTCGTACACGCCGTAGTGTCGAAGGAGCCATAAAAAAATTACATTTAGGTGTTTTTCCTAGGGGGCCACCGCCTGAGCCCTCGACCTAGAGGTCTAATTCAAAGACAGTTAAGCAACGTAAGGACTTGAAGTCCGATAGTAGCTGGAGGCCAACCATTGGTTCATACGCCATTTGTTCCCTCAGGATCCTCGAGCCCATGTCCACCATTGATTTGGATTCAGGGTTCTTCAACTCGCCTCCGTGTCCACCAACCCGGTTAAATATCCGGACATTCACTTTTCATCCTTTCAATTTCGTAAACAACACCCGACTGGTTTCATCTCATGCTTAATATTAATATCTCTCTCTATTGTGAAGCGATTTAATGAACTACAAATAGTTGTCATAATTATTATTAATCCATCTGACTTGACTTGCTTTAACCTGTGTTGTCATCACTCATCGTATGTGTATTTTATCTGCACAAATGTTTAGGTCTTCTGAGTTTGCGAAAAGAGCAGGTCTTGATGGCGTCGCGTATATATTGGCCATGCGTTTTCGTGTTTTCCAGTTATTTGCACTCACTCCAATCTTCGTTATTTGCACTCCATTGTTTTTTTTCTCTCAAGAATCAGGTAAATCAATCATTTCTTAGATGGCAAATGTTTTGTACAAATCAAAAGTCTAAGCACTTCTATTCTATATCATTTTTTTCTGGTTAGCGTTTTCTAGTTAGTTTTCTACATGATGGGGTCGCTAACACCATGCTGAACCCTCCTACTTTATACGGGCTTGGGACCAGCAGTAACCCTATAGGGGCTACAGGCGGAGTTATTCTATACAATGATTGTTATATATATATATATATATATATATATATATATATATATATATATATATATATATATATAGCCGATGTGTTTGATTGCTAGACTCAGTTTAGTCAACTTACGTTATGGTTTCTGACACAAATATAATACTATGTAAGCTTTTGAATGCCACTTTTCTTGTTATTATTGTTATCGGTGGATTGAATAAAGGTTTATAAATTCGAAACTGTTTTCAGAAAAACAACTATGAGGTTTTTATATTTATCAATTACATACATGCATATTTACGCTTGATATAAGTTTGCATCAATTTTTAAAATTTTTTTTACAGAGAATGAATTTCGACGGATCACAATAGCTAATCTTGGAATAACAGATGTGTAAGTAACATGTACTGATTATTTGGGCTCTAGTTTATTCATTAGAAAGTGTGGTTGTATGTGAATGACGAAATTTGGAACGATTCTTATATGAATATTCAGTTTTTTTGTTCATGCGACGTTTTTTTAGGCGAACTCCGTTACTGCTTTGATCTTAGTTGCAGTAAGATTATACATAATGTTGTCAGTTAATATCGTGGTACAAATGAATATTTGTTTTAGTTATATGATGTATTCACATCTAGTCACAATACTAAACTGTTAGTAAGTGTTGGTATACATATCTGTTACGATCGGTCAGTCATATGTGACGTGATCACATATTATGGTACTTAGAGTAGCATTTAAATAAGTGTTTTAACTGTCTATTTCAGTATAATATAATCTCGAAAGCGATTTCCATAACAAACTACTGTCAGCAGAAACTGGTAGAATGCAGAGTCTTTTGGTAGCACTGAGCAACAATGTCAGGTTGCTTGAAATGCGCTTCTCCCCCTCTAAATACAAATTGTTGTTTCAGGACTGGTTTGTGTCAACGCTTTATTCACTAACCCATTACTCCACTAAACTGTAACTGCAACTCTACGAACCTGATCATTTTATTTGTGTAGTAGTTAACATATTGAAAAATCTATTCTGAATTTCATGCCTATTTATTATTATGTTTTAAGTTTTTACACTGTGAAACCTTCCTATGTGCCACGTGTTACCAATCTATAAACTCTTTCAATATCCGCCCTGTTTTCTCATTGATCACTTTTGATTGATTTTCATTCTTTAAATACTTTTTATTAAATTTCTGTGAACTCAAATCATAGATAGTTTTTTCTTTACTGTGTGTAAGTCAAAACAAGTTAGTATTAGAAACGTAGAATATTGCTTTTCACCTTAATTCTACTCAAATTTTAATTTAATGTATATAACTGTAAATATAAAGTATTAAACAAGAGATTACTTATAGGTTAATGAACGCAACATATTGATTATGGACCTGTTCGTAATAGTAATAATAATGATAATAACATTTCAGTAATTGTTATATTAGTAATCATCCGAGTAATGATGACAGTAACACACATAATTAAAAAAAAGCTGTGTAACACTTTAAAATGATCTATATATAAATAAGCCCCATTTTAGTACATGTGTGTTAGATAAGAAGAAAAAAATGAACAAAGGGCAAAAGAAATGGAATGATGAGAATTGATTAGCTTATTTTCGTGAACTATTTCATAATTGCTAGTTGATTAATGTGACAGTTTTCAAATTATATTTTTTTGATAGTTGTTACCGATTCTAGTACTTTACTTAGATTTCACTGTCTTAACAACATTGTGAATGTATTCAGAGGCTAAAAAATAATACAAACCGTGTTATACAAACGAACTAGATTAGAGATAAAATAATTAATTTTGACAGATTAAAGAAATTTTGACAAATATATTCGATGTTTGATTTCATAAAGTTTTTAAAACGTATGCAGAATACAAAGATAAGAAAACAACGCACTGCGGTAGTTGGATAATTCAATGTGGTGTTCATTGAAATCATGGAGTGATCTAAGTTAGACCGCCATTAATAACCTGGCAGCATTGGGAAACCGTTTTTTTTTTCTAGTATGGGACCCGGCAGTTCGGATTCACCATCGCACATGCAAGAGTCGGAAACAATCCATTTTAGTCTCTTGTACAAAGGCTTAGCCGCTAGACCGCTTAACTGACATCCCACAGTGTTAATGTCTAACTTTAATCAATATGGTTTCCAGAAAGGGTCACAGTAACCCAATATCTAACTTCATTGTATGTCATTTAATTAATAGTGGCTACACGCTGAACAAAAACAAGCATTTAAAACGTTTCACTGTATTTCATCACATCTTTTTAATACTCATCAAACACATTTCATGTTTTAGTCAAGCTTTGTATTATTGGTGTGACACTCCTGGTTTATATATTAGCATTAGAATTTAACTAAATAACATGATTCAATTTCTCAGTATTATATAACTACTAATGATTATGTGGAACTTGGATTTATCCTTATGGTACTTTACCATGAGAATAACAATCCTCGTTAGCTTTGTCGATTAGTGACATTGTATTATAATCAAATTCTCTAGATTACTAAATCGCAGTTAGTCTCTCTTTTTCTTTTAATAATATTTCGAAACGAATTAGGGGCAGTACATTGAACTCCAAATGACTGCCGAAATAATTCAAAAAAATGTTTTTTGCTTTTTATCGAATGAGCGCTTGTTTAATGCCATTTTTTGTCTATACAAGCTGGTCTTCTTAAGAATCACTGGAGGCAGTAGACAACAGTTTACGCCTAAAATTACCAGTACAAAAGCACCCATTTATTATGTCGTTCTTGTTTTTTTTTTGAGTTCTCTATGCTACATGGCCTAATAGCGATGTTTTGATGGTCGTTCAGGACATTATCACGCCTACATGAGACATTCATCTTAAATACTAATCTCTATTTGTTCAGTAACATTCAGTTTGTGTTTCACATGTGGCCACACTACATAATACTTCTAACTAACGATGAGTGGCGACTGAACATAATGTATGAACCCTGATTTCCTTTAATTTACAGTCATATAGATTCAGTCTAAGCCAAGGTTTGAATGAACGATCTAACAATGATTTATCAGTTTACTACTGTTTCATACTAATTATATTGCTCGTGTATCCAATGGTTTTTTCCACGAACGGTTTTCGGATTCATGGGATGTTTGTTTTGTTTTATTTGTCAAAAATAAATTCTTCCCCTCTTAAGAACCGAAATCGTCAAATAATAAGATCACAAGACAATCATCTAAAGAAATCAGGACTGATAATCCACTTCAAAATACCATAACTTTTGATACACATTGATTGGCAAAAACGTTTAATAACACTTACTGTTGACTTTTTCAACGTCAGTTCATGCTACGTAAATCAGATCAATCTATTTTCAACCGTTTATCAAGATTGAACCTGAAGTGAAGTCGGCCTTAAGATTTATATCCGAAATCCTTGAAATTTTTGGCACAGACGGTGTTCAGATAAATCCCTGCCATAAAAAGTGTACACACAACACTGCAAATCTCCACTTATCATTATTTACGTAAATATTTAGTTAATATTGAATTTATTTGATACTAACAACAATGAAGACGTGTTATATTAGGTGAAGTTTGCAAAATTCTTTGTCAATCAATAGATTATGTAAACCGGTAAGTGATAAATTTGGATAATCCAATGAGAACATGCAGGCTATCAGAAAGTCATAGATTATTTCCAAAAGTAACTAGTGTAATCTATTTTTGGTACGTAGTGTCTGACAAAAAATTTATATATTTCTGCAAAAACTCAACATTAATTAATACATAGTATCACGGAATTTCTATACAATTAAATAATTTAGCAATTAAGTCATTATTGCATTCTTTCTCACTCTAAAATTAAATCAATGTTTTAATTATCTAGCATTCATTTGATTCTTTTCAATTTTCCTCTTCATTTCATTAGTTCAAGAGGATGGATATTATACACCATTATTATCATATGTATAATATTATATTTTATGGTGACTGGATTATGCTTAACCGAAGCATACATCTGGCCAAGAAAATTGAAAATATGTAATAGTTGGAAAACATTACCTTTGAATAATGATAATAACAATAATAGTGGCAGTAGTGATAAACACCAAAAACCTAATTCATCGTTGACTAACGGCAGTAGAGAACAAACTAATCAAGGGGAACAAAAAACCATTAATATCTCTAATAGTGATGACGATAATGACGATGATTGTGAATGTGATCGTATTAATGAGGTAGGTAAACAGAGTAATTTGTAAATATGAAATTCGATTTTTAATGTATCTTGGTTTTCGAAACTCATGTCTGTTGAGTTGATTATCTATTAATTACTACTACTTTTACTATAGTGAACGAAAGCTCAGGTACAGTAATCCAATTTATTATTTTATGCAAAATCACACAATGCCCCTGTAAAATATGAAAATCATATATTGAATACATCACTTGCTCATTTTCCTTGTGTTTTCTTTTACTTCATCATCCTCCTAATTCTGTTATTATTCCGATCGCTCTCTGTTTTCCTTACTCTTCCATTTATTTCACTTTTCTGCTAATAAGCATCCCACTTCCAATTCCTGCCATATACTATTTGTATCCGTCCATATAAGTAGCGCACACTATTATTATTATTACTACTACTACTACCACCAAAAATAATAGTATTTGTGTTCACAGAATCCATTGTTTATATTATTATATTACAACTAAAAATATAAACATGAACCGATAAACCATATCTTTCTCATCATATGACCACTGTTTTGTTCATTCAACTGGAGCATTTAAATTTCGTATAATCTTGTCTTATTGACCGTACAGTGTTTGAATCTCCATACTTTCAAGTTATCCGCAAACAACAGAACAGATAATTTGGAAACTTTTGTTAGGTCGTTTACATAAAGTAGAAGAAATTAAAATAGACAACATGGCCAATTGAATTCGATTATAGTTTGTTCTTTCTCTTATATACTGTTAGTGTAGTATTCTAGATAGCGATTCATTGTCATTGGTTAAAGACTTGTTTAAAGCAATAATCATGGTGTATCCATGGTATGAAGTTAAATCTTCGTATTTAAAAGCCAAAGATTAATCTAATCAGATGACTACGTTCAATTATACTTGAAATGCGCCAGTTATATATCTCACATTTTTTCGGAACAAAGAAATAGTACATGCGTATCTAAAGAGTTTTAGTCAATCAAAGCATGAGGGAGCTTTCTAGAATATTAACGTGGTATGCTACTATTGGTCAGTAGCATAATATGTCTCTTAGCGGATTGGCCAAAATATAATGTTGATTTGACAAATGCTAATAATCTATAAATACCCGTGTTTTTCTGTACAAGAATGAACCTTCAAAGTAAAGTGCTTTTCGCTTAATTTGCTCCTTTTCTCTTGTGTTCAGGTCGTTGCGTAGTTCTAGCTTGCGGGTTACCAGAATAGCTTAGGAACCGAATAAAGCGTTCGAATTAGTAAGACTTATCAGTGGTGACGGGGAAACTACAATGAATATTTTTTCGGAGCAACTAGCAGCTTATATGGAGCGTCAAGAGAAGAGGTTTGGACAGTCTCAAATCAGAATCATGGAAGCCCTGATACAGAAAATGTCCCTATCCCAGCAAAACCATGCTATTGGTGAATCACAAGTATTATCTCATACTGATTCAATCATTAGTACCATTCATAAATTTAATTTTGATGGTGCAGCAGGTGTAAACTTTGATTCTTGGTTTAAGAAATATGAAGATTTGCTTTATATTGATCTCTGCAGAGTTGATGACGCCTCAAAAGTCAAAATACTTCTAAGAAAACTTGGGACGATGGAACATGAACGTTATAGTAACTTCATTCTCCCGAAGAATCCACGAGACTTTAGTTTTGATGAAACAATTAAAACCCTGTCTCAAATCTTTGGAGAACAGTCATCTCTATTTAATATCCGTTGCCAATGCTTGAAGATAAAGAAAGAACCAGGAGATGACTGGGTGAAACATGCAGGAATGGTGAACCAAGAGTAAGAGGTTCAAGATGTCTTCCATGAGTGAGGACCAGTTTAAATGCCTAGTATTTGCCTGTAGCCTGCGTTCATCCGAAGAAGAATCCTTAGCAAGCTCGAACACTGCTCCAACATGACTATGCAGGAAGTAACTACCGAATGACAAAGGTTAGTGAATTTGAAGCATGATACCTCGATGGTAGAGAACGGTAACCGTTTCTCTAACGTCAGTGCAGTCGAGAGAAAAGTCTCACAAGGTTCCAGCACGCACAAATATCGTAAGGACAGCGACATACCATCATCTCCATGCTGATCTTGTGGAGGTTGGGACTATAAGAGGTTCTGCCCGCACAAAGAACATTGTTGCAGTAAGTGTCATCGGGAGGGCCATACAGGAGCCAGCTGCAGAAAAAGAAACCATGAACGATATTCTGCAAAACCCTACTTCAAGAAATACATGTCTGGCGCAATAACAAAAAGAATATTGGTATCACATAATCAAGCACGAAATTGCCGTCAAAGAAACTACGTAACCTTAGATATTAATAAACACCGTACTCGCCTTCAGCTTGATACAACTTCTGATATTACCCTTATCAGCCCAGAAACTTGGAGGAACATTGGGAGACCCACAGTTCTCCCAACAACACAACTGGCACACAGTGCATCTGGGGGGGGGAGTTAAATATTGTTGGAAAAGTTCCCTGCACTGTTTCTAAAGGTACTGTAACAACGAATGCAACAGTATACCTTACAAAGAAGCCAGCACTCGACTTAATGGGGTTAGATCTTATAGAGACACTTAAATTAGCAGACCATTCGACTTACAGCATCTGCAGACGAATCAGAACTGACAACACCTTAGAGTGAAACCAGAAAAATTCCGTGCTACAAGGATACCACAAAATGTTCAGAGAAAGATTGAGAGAATGTACGAAGACCAAAGCATTGTTAACCCTAAAACCTTCAGCTACTCCCGTCTTTCGACCTAAAAGTCCTGTACCTTATGCTGCTCTTCCAATAGTTGAACAAGAATTACAACGACTTCAGGAAATGGGTGTTATCGAACCTGTGAACTTCTGAAACCGAGCTGCATCAATAATGGTTGTCAAGAGGTCGAATTGTACCAGATTAACTGAAGCTCTAGAGTCTCACCAGTCTCCGTTACCCTTACCGGAAGATCTTTTCGCTAAGCTGAACAGTGGCAGATATTTTGCGAAATCAGACTTATCAGACGCATATCTACAAATCCCGGTACCTGACGAAAGCAAAGATCTCCTGACGATCAACACACACAAAGGTCTGTTCTGGTATAACCGACTACCTTCTGGGGTGAAGACGGCGCCCTCTATTTTCCAGCAAATTATGGATAACATGTTACAAGATATTCCAGCGGCAGCAGCTTATTTAGACGACATCATAATTATGACAGCAGACAAAATAGACCTGCAGAAGACTCGTGTATTATATTCGGTGATCGAATTGTTATTCCGAAGTTATTACTTCACAAGGTTCTCAAGCAGCATCACAGTTTTCATCCTGGAATCAATAAAATGAAATTGTTGGCTCGTAGTTGTGCTTATTGGCCGTCAATAGACAAAGATATCGAGAATAAATGCCGTAACTGTTCATTGTGCCTTCGAGCTGCTAGAAATCCTCTGAAATATGAACTTCTGTATTGGCCAACGCCTGTAGGACTCTGGATAAGAGTTCACGCAGATTTTGCTGGTTTAATCCAAGGAAAAATGTTTCTAATTATTGTGGATGCATTTACTAAGTGGCCAGAAGTATATTCCATGCCCAAAAGACTCAAAATAACCAGCCGAAACTTCCGTTAGAGTTAATCTTAGACACATCAACTTTATATATGCCCAAGGACACTGAAAAGAAGCCTCGGATAAGGAATACAACAAGAATAATGGGACGCCGCTGGAAACCAGTTGTCAAGCTACAAGTGGATCCCAGAAAGAAATCTCATTTGGAGGAGTTTTGAGTCGGCTTCCGAGAATAACAACGGAGCCTACAGAGGCCCTGAAGGAGCCGAAGAGTTTCAGTCAATCAGAGCATGAGGGAGCTTTCTAGAATATTAACGTGGTATGCTACTATTGGTCAGTAGCATAATATGTCTCTTAGCGGATTGGCCAAAATATAATGTTGATTTGACAAATGCTAATAATCTATAAATACCCGTGTTTTTCTGTACAAGAATGAACCTTCAAAGTAAAGTGCTTTTCGCTTAATTTGCGCCTTTTCTCTCGTGTTCAGGTCGTTGCGTAGTTCTAGCTTGCGGGTTACCAGAATAGCTTAGGAACCGAATAAAGAGTTCAAATTAGTAAGACTTATCAATATGTATTGTAAATAATGATAAAAAAGACTATGTATATGCAAATGTATGCCATGTGTTATCAATAAGCAAGAAGATTAACTCTAATTTTACCGAATACGTAAGACTCGTAGTACGGAGTGTGTTCAGGAAGGACCGGGGTTCTGCAGAACAACGTTAGCTGAAAATTGCTATCCAAGCCGGTTCTTAAAGAAAAATATGAGAAATAGTCGGAACAAAGAATTCACGGATTTTATTTCAAAAAAAAAAAAAACTTTATGTCCATCTGTATTTTAAAAGTGAACAGATTTTTGATGTTCATGAAAATCCGCTGTCAACAGATAATAACAGAAAGCTTTGCGTGGCAATGCTGTGACTAACATTCACTAGCAGAAATTTACTTTTCGTATCCATGAAAAATAATCTCTGTTATTTATTCACCTCTGTTAGCATCTATCGGTTCACCTACTTTTGTAGGACTAGGCACATAGACCAAAGCTAGTTCTTGATTTCAACACGGAAATGAAGACATATTCCAATAGGATTCTCTAAAAGATGAGTGGAAAGCACTAACGAGTTCTATCCTCGAACGTCTAGTCAATTCGAATCACTCCACTGATTCGCTGGTTGATTTCAAGGTTGTCTGTAAAATGTATTCAAATCTACCAAGATTTTGTGTTCAACTCCTTAAAACTGCAGATGTACTTGTCATCCATGACATAAAGTCTAAACTGTGTGTACAAAAGATTTACGTCTTATAGTCGTTTTTACCGTTGTCTTTAAATATAATCATTTTTTATTTTCATTTCATTGATTTCTCATTTGAAAATTTCCCTCTTTACTGATTTGTTATATCCCCATAATCTTATGATTGTTTCTGATGTTACTTCATTTTATCCAATCCCACTAAAAAATTTAATTATTATGACAAAAACATCTTCCTCCATTAACATTATAAGCCATTGTTAACTTTTTGATTTGACTTAAGTTTTTATTTGTACGCAATATTTTTTTATCATTTACGCTATGTCATCTAGTGTTATAATCTTTCTAATTTTCACCATTTTTATTTATTGTTCATCTATCTACAAGGAATTATTATCTAAATTATATATATATATATATATATATATATATATATATATATATCTTGCGCAGTCAATTGTTTAGAACTACTTGTACTATTTTGATGTTGGTTGTGGTAGTTCTCTAAGTTTCAGCTGTGTATAGTATGACTATCTTGACGTTCGTATTGAAAATTCTGACAGTCGTTTTGAGTTCCATATGTTCTTCAACTGTAGGAATTCCATCCTTGCTTTGCCAATCCTCACCCTCACATCGCTGCACCCGATCCTCCTTGTTCATCAATGATGCTACTGTCCATGTACGTGAAATTTTCCACCTCTTCCAAAGTTTCTCCATCAAGTGTGATTGGGTTGGTGTTCTCCGTGTTGTATTTGAGGATGTTTCTTTTTCTCCTGTGCATGTTGAGACCTATTGATGTAGAGGCTGCTGCTACACTTGGAATGTCTATATCAGCTGTCCTCCATGCACTACTTTGCAGTGTATTCCGTTTAATTTTCTTATGGCGTTGACGATCTTCTAAGAAGCTCCATAATGTCGAGGAAGGTTCCGGAAGGTTTTCCTAAGTACTCTGTCAAATGCTTTTTCGTAATCAAGGAAGTCTATGTAAAGTAACAGATTCCCTTCAGTTGATTCGGTCTGTATATCTTAGGTACACAAAGAAACGGGATAATAATCCTGTAGAACTTGAAAGACTCCAACTTAGATCGGCAGTAACAGTGCATGCTGTTTTCAATAACCATCAAGTCACTATTAAAAATATCAAAATAACACAATAAGGCTTTTTCAACTACAAGGAATGCCAGAAGCTGAATCTTTTCATGTATTGCTAAATCTTAAATACCCAAATGGAGAAGAAAACTTCACTATCTATCCGAGCTATCGTGTCATATTCTATTCACATCTCACACTATTATCATACATACAAATTGAACTATATCCTTTCACACCACAAATGTTATATGTTTCACCCATTATCACACAGCAATACGCAAGCATGTCTGATAAATCAGCTTGTTCGAAGTGACATGACATTGTCTTGGTCAGTATGGTAATTACCATTACCTAGTGACTAGCTTCGAGAGGTAATTCTCGGAGTTCTAATAAGAAGTCGTGTCCAGTGCAGCTTTCCGTATCGGGTGTCACAATGGAAGCTGGTCGCACAATATCATGGATTGATTGAACGTGGACATTAACACCGGTGGATGCCAACTCAGTGGTCTAGAGGTTAAGTGTTCTCTCGGGAGATCGGTGGTCCTGAGTTTCGTGTCCCGCATATGGGATCTTGAATGGGCACTACTAAGATGTCGAATACTGTAACGAAACGGTCGTCCAGTGCTTCCAGGATTTCAATGGTGGTCTATCACCGATCGATTCATGATCTCAATCAAAAACCCAACCATCTCTGCACAACCCCATACTGACAAATATTTTTGGTTTGCTCTCTTGTAATATTTAAAATTTGACTGATTTAATTTGTTTACTTATTCTCTGAAGAAGCGATTTACACTGAGTCACAAAACGTCAGGAGATTAGATTTCGCTACCCATTAAGATACCTCAAATATATTATTTTTGTTAATAACAATATATTCAGTACTCAGTTTTTTCGAAATTATCAAGTCAAACCTTGGTAAAGATACCTACAATGCTCCATATTGTTACGGCTGCCTTGTACATTAAGGTCACATTGATATTTGATTTATGTTTTAGAATCTCTCAGTCAGTTAATAGGTGGGACGATAGTATGTTTACGGTGATCATAAATCGTATATTATTTTATCATTTTCACTTCTATGGGAAACATTTTACGATCATGGTTCTTTTTTCTCTCAATGAAGCACTATCATTTTATTTCAATTTTCCTAAATATTTTTACAGTTTATTCCTGTTTATTTTACTTCTAAACATGACAAAATTAAGGTGTGTATATTAATAAAATAATCTAACAGCCGTGTATTAAATAGTGAACATTTTGTTGTGACAAGATCTATTTTCCAATTCAGTTCTTAAATATTTACTTAGTGTATCACTACTTTGAAATATACGAGAAATTAGCTTTGTAACACATAACACACCCTTGTCACATTTGTAGAAATTTGTATACTATGACGGGATCTTTATCCAGTCGTTTTGTGTTGTAATTAATTAACAACATTTTGTGAATATGCATTTGATATGTTATTTTGTTGCTATTGGCTCGTTTTCTTTATTTAAGTGTGTTTCTGTCATGAAATGGATTATTTCATAAAAACTATATCTGAAGCACTCAAAAAAATTTTTTCAAATTCTCATTTTGAAATTTTAAGCCACACGCTTTCAGCTGAATTCGGTACTGCGAATTTCTCACCCTCATCAAGTAATTCTCGAGGAAACTTTAAAGTTTTGCAAATAGTACGCGTTTTTATTTGCATTATCTTCGGTTGGAGTGATAATAAAGCTCCTGTTTCCCTATGTTGTATTTTTACATTTATTATTATTATTAAGGGTTTCAGTTATCCTTCAGTGGCCCTATATCTGACTCCAATTTGATCGTATGTTGACTGTTATCGAAATATACATATTGTCAATTTTCGTATATTGTTATCGACTTAGCTCGCGCTAGTGAATAACGGAATTAAATAAGCCGAATACGAGGATGAAGTTTGAATGTGTATATTTCATACAATCGTTGATTTGAACCAATAATCTGTCGGATAAACGAAGCGAAATGACGCACGTTGGATAAAACATTTGAGCCAACTCGTTTTCATCAAGCGTGACTTGCTATTTATAGTCAAACAAAAATAAGCTACAGACGTGTGATGAGTAACATCGGGTATGCACATACATATGCCTACATAAAAACAGTCAAGGTTGACAAACGAATAATCAAGAAGGTCAAAATGTGACTCAAGAAGAATGAATAAATCGGCCTGTTCGAAAGCTAGGATGAACCATATGAGCTTGCATAGCACTACAATCCTGTCATTAATATTCAAGACTGAATTTTGGCGGTTTTTTGTGTAAATGCGTTTGGTATAGGGAAATTCAGCTGATTAATCTCAAATACGATAAAAATTACATCCCGGACTCTCATATTAATTAAGCTTGTCTAAAGCTATGACAATGATTTGGGCAGGATAGTATGAATTCATTGTATTTTGTGTTTTCTCACTAGGTGCTCACAGTCATATATATATATATATATATATATATATATATATATATATATATATATATATATATATATATATTAAAATGTAACTCTGAGGTATGTTATAATGTGGAACAATTGTCATTGATGCCGGAAAGAATTAGGAGTACAAGGATTATCTGTGTAGGAATAGGTGTAAAGTGATTTAGCGATTTGAACACGGGATGAGAAGCCACGAAATATAGTGAATTAATATTAATCTGCCCCGATCATTGTTTTGGCTTTAGTCAAATCTACAAAAGAAACTAATAGGATAAAACTAATTAAATTTCATGTATTCCAAGCAATTTGGTTTCATAATTGTGGTACACGTTTCATTAACCATATATCCACGGTCCAATTAATCTTTTGTGAGTTTTGTTCTTTCTCCTTCTTTATTAAAAAAAACATGTAGTTGGAGTTGTTTACAGTCGTTTTTCCAACTAGTTTTTAACGACAATATTTTCTCACCATTGACATTCTGTGTATTTTTCACACAGATCGCTATTAAGTATCATTCTTATATAATTTCCTTTTTGTATCAGATACCAAATGTACTCATGCTAACAGGTGTCCCAACTAGCACTACAGTCAAATCATTTGTAAAAAGAATAACAGAATTCTTCAAGTAAGTTTTTATACTGTTTTCGTTTTTGAGTTTCATTCTACTGCAAAGAATATGTATAGTTTTAAATGTTTTCGATTACTTGATGTGCACTACTAATATAAACACTATTGGTTAATTTAAGAGACGATAGCCCAAAGTTTATGGCATGAAATATTGTTTCTTGTAAATAAATTTAGTATCTTCAAAAATAACCATTACCATATATAGTCGGCTTTATTCTGCAAAATTATTCTTGCAACATTTGATTTCTTATCGCATACAACTACTGAAAAAGAAATAATATTATCCGTTTCATTGGATTTAACATTGTTCAATGTCTTAAAAATGGTATACAGCATTATATGCTTCTCATGGTGTGGAAATGAATGTCGTATCAGATACTTTATTCTTTCTTTAATTACTTTAAATGTACGCTTATATGTGTGCTTTTTCTAAATATTTTGTCGTGACTAGTTTAGATCAATACATGATTAATTGGTTTATTTAACTGTATTATAATCTGTTTTATTCATGTTATTTCTGTGTATAATGATGATGTTAATAATACTACTACTAATTGTAATAATACTGATAATCGTAATGACCAAAGCATTCTACGATAGCTATCATCGTTTAGATAATAATCATAGTGTTCTGCTTATATATATATATATATATATATATATATATATATATATAAGTTCATGTCTTTAAAGGTTGACTAGAACTTCAGCAAATCTTCCATGACAATGGGCTACTACTTACTACCACCACTGTTACGCATATACAAACTTTTCATTATACAACAATGTAATCACACTACTGTGATTCATTGAGAAGAATATACACCCAAAGTCTAAACAACTTGTAACTAACGAAGAATCGTAATTGAATAGATTCTGTACTGTTCGCATGATTCTTTTGCATGAGCAATAGCTATTACATCTTATGTGGTGAAATGATCTATTTCACATCATTTGTGTTCACTAATTTTAACGAATAACCAGTGTAATGAAGTAGTAAAGCTAAGGTAATTTGGTCACGCTTAAAATCAAGTTTCTGATCTGCATTTTATATTATGAAGTTCACATGATAAGGTGTTTTTAGTTCTTTTTAACATTGTCATTCACACTATAATTTTTATGATTATTTCCTTATTCTTTCTAAAATCATATTGAAGATGCTTTCAGCTACCGTTACTCCTTACTGCACAAAGTTTAGATTAACAGATATGTTACTAATTAGTATGTTTATCACTATTTAATCAGGTTCTGAACTTAGACGGTAGATAAAGTATTTCTTTTGCGCGCACAGGCTTACGCACTTTTTATTAACACTGTACATTTCGAAATTTTAATTAATAAAAAGTTGACACTCGCAACTAGTAATTTCGGCATACATACTTGGTCTTTATAATTGATCGATGTCCTCAACCAATAACGATAGTTAGGTACCGTCTCATTCTTGACGTTATTGACTCATGCACGCTATGGATTACCTTTAGAATTAAAAGTCTGACTATCCTCATCTCGCTCATGTACAGAATCGTTGTTCATTGGTCTAAACTCCTGAACTACAATTTTACAGCTGTTCATTACTCTATTTTAGTGGATTTCTGTTATATCCCGGTGAAAATAATGATTGGTAACTGTTGGGAACAATTTCTGGACAAATATTATACACATGTATTTTTATTGTATAATTGTTAAGTAACTAAACTATTCACATTCGTGTTCCTCGTATTATTATTATTATTATTATTATTATTATTATTGTTATTCGATTTACCATTATTGAGTTATGCCCAGTCTATCAATTACTATCTCCCACATTCACAGTTACTTTTGATTAACTCCTTTACAAATTTTATTTTCTATTTTATGGTACGAAGTGGTCTTTTTGGTTTGTATATAAACGCAGTATGTTTGAAATACATGATTCATATCGCAGAGTCTGAGATTGGTGTTCTAGACTTAACAGACGGGGCTAGACAGAAAGCAGGACCAATAATCAATCTAGACTGCTCGTACGGGTTTCATGCGTCATTGATACGGTCGATAATTCACTGTTCTTTAATTGGCGGTATCATTAAGTTATACATTAATGGGGCACAAGGCCATAAGTTATAACATTCTCTACCATTGATACTGTTACTACTTCCACTACTCTGACATTTGCCTTAATAATTTCATTTAATTGTGCTGATATGGAGTAGCCACCTAAACTAACATGCATGTATGCTAAATTTTACGTTATTTACAACTGATTGACAGGACAGTTTCCTAGCTGATGTTAAATCATAAGGAGAACGCCTTCAGAAAGCATCTTTCTTCAGAATGTAAATAGAAATTATTAGCCTTATTCTAGTTCCAGTTAATCAATACTCATCGGTAAGTAGAAGTTTTGAAAAAAGAATTATTATCCTTGTAATTTAAATGGTACTTTCGTATAAAACTCATTTATTGTAGAATCAATCATCCAGAATTGAAGGTAAAATGGATTGAACCAGTTTATTTAGTTCGAAATTTGACAGAACTTGAGCAAGCAAAGTGAGTTCATTAAACATAGTAAATAGAGGAAAGTTTATTTCTTAATCGCATTGTACATCATATAATTCTTTCTGTTATCAACACTTAATCGGTTAATCTAGATATTTTAATGTTATACATTTTTTACTAAATGGGTATTATCCAGTACGTTTAAAAATGCAACTTTTTGTGAATGATATAACCTCTTAAGAGAGATGGTAGTCGAAGCAATATTAGGATGAATTCTAAAGTAATCAGTCATTTTGATCAATTTGGATTGTATAATGAGATGGAGATTATCAGAACTATGTAATACATTTCGAACAATCTGATCACATATATACTTGTTAAAAACATTTATCTACGAAATTTAAATGGTCAAATATACAAATAGTCAGTTATAAGTTCTGTTAAACATAGCTAAGATATTCAGAGGGCGGTTCGCTTTTTAAGTTGTACTTTATGTCGTATATGAAGCAAAGCTGCATCAATATGCAAAGCATGTATGATTCCTTTCACCACTCAAATGACTTATTAAGTACATTCAAGTATTATATGCATGTATATGTTTTCATTACATTGGTAAAACTGTTTGCTTGTAGAGCTGAAACAGAGATTTATCTACGCGCTTCAGTTGAACAATTAGAAATAACTGGCGAGCAACCAACCTATCATAATTTCGGTACTATTTGTCGAACACTTGCTAAGAGTAAATCAGACGCCAATGCAATTGTAGTGTATAATGAACAATTAGATGTGCTTGCAACACAAATCAACACTATTTATGCAATCAGTGGCCTATCGAACATTGAACTTTTGATGAAAGAAAATCCAGGAAAGAATCTTACTGATTTACTCGATATACCACATACAGGAATTGTTTTTATCGGTCTAGAAAATTCAGGACAAGTTCTAAGGTCGGTAAACCCATTTTGTCAATGTTTCTATAATCTTTAGTTTATATGATGAGTAGACGATTTTCTTATTTGATTTTATCCTTATCTTTAAAATAAAAGCTCGTTCATTCAAGCTGCTATACATTTTTGACCATAATAATTTTATGAATGAATTTTTAGTTGTTAAAATAAAATAAAAGACTACTGATTGATAGATGATACGTTGTGGACAAGTGATAACTCCTGAAGAAATCGAATAATTCTGCTATGTTTGTAGAGATTACGAAATCATCTTAAATCAGCGAAGGGAACGAAGGTTCGGCAACACGACCAGACAGTTAAACTATTCTGATGCACCCTAGCTCTGCTAACTAGAGGGATAAGACCAGGTTCAGGTCAGGAGTAGATATATTACATGAGCAGTCAGAAACACGAACAAATCAAGCAAACAACTTAAGCATATATATGCATCATAAAAAATCCTTCGGAAACGTCACAAAATAGTTTATTAAAAGAGGCAACGAAGCAAAGACATTTAAGGTACTTCCAAACGGGAAAGACGATCTGAAGATAAAAGTGGATGCCTTTGGCGTGAAAAAGAGAAATTCGGATTTCCAAATTAAAATTACAAAAATAAGACATATATCAATTGATCTCCGAGGATCTCGCATCCTTAACACTCCTTTTAATAGCATACGTTCTTGAAGTCCACCCGCATCCTAATCATTTGTCGTTGTTGTCAAAGTGATCACCTTCTGGAACGTGGATCGATTCGTTGTTGTACTTTTCCTTGCATGGTAACTGCGGGTAGGTTGAAGTTGTCTTACAGAATTTCGAGCGCGGAGTTTTCGCCTCTGGAATCTTCAGTTTCGTTCGCGAACGCTTAATCTCTTGACCACTAAGCCGAGACCCAACATTGGTAATGTCTAACTTCGACCATCACCGGTGGGCGACCGCCCCACACCGGAAACGGATTAGCTGCACTGGTCACGGCTTCTGAAATTCTGATAATTACCTCGAAGCTAGTCACTAGTGAGGGTATGATAATTTTCACTATGGGGTGTGGAAGCTGGTCGCGCAATATCGTGGATTGATTGAACGTGGACATTAACACCGGTGGATGCCAACTCAGTGGTCTAGAGGTTAAGTGTTCTCTCGGGAGATCGGTGGTCCTGAGTTTCGTGTCCCGCATATGGGATCTTGAATGGGCACTTCTAAGGTGTCGAATACTGTGACGAAACGGTCGTCCAGTGCTTCCAGGATTTAAATGGTAGTTTAACGTTGATTAGTGCATGATTTTAATGAAATTAAATTTTCAGGTAGTCTAGAAAGTGTAATGTTATTATATGAAATATGTACATTTATCCGTCATGCTTTAATAACCATACTTTTTTAACTTTTAGATAAAACTAATCTTTAAGATTTTCTAAAAATGTTTATACTCTACTTTTCAAATACCCTATATAGACATCTCTAACCTATTTGTCACCTTTTGTTTACAAATTAATAACGTAACTTGTAAGCATAATACACTAAAATGCTTTTATAATAATTTAGTATTATATTTAAAATATACCAGCGAGTTGAAGATGGACTTTGTGACGTCTCTCGGCTTATTTTTGGTTGTTTCTTCAGAGGATAAATAAATAAAGCAAATCAAAACAAGTTTGCTCAGGCTTACATCATGTTACTCAAGGCAAGACAGTCTTTGTGTGTATTTGTGCATATCTCAGTTGGTATGGAAAACAATGTAAAATGGTGGAGCTAATTTGTATATATGTTGATGGTGTTAGATTTGCACAATAGAAACCATTAATAACAATATAAAAATTACTCAAAAACGTTTTTCCAACTATAAAAAATACTAATAATTGAAGCTTTCCATAAATTCCTAAGCTCTATTGTGTTCAATAGAAACGGATGTTTAAGTGTCCACTAAACTTGAACGATTTTTCCAAATAAACACATTTGATCTTTTTATTTATTCTCTGGAGAAACGACTTACATATTAAATCACGAAATATCAGAAACACAATTTTCACCTCATTAAAATATTAAAATTATATTATCATCCCATTAATACAAACATTTTACTCAATGTCCAATGTATTTGAAATTATCAAGTCAAACCGTGGTAGTGGTGCTTACAACCGTTTTTGATTGCGTGTTTAGCGAAAAGACTGATTTACAATCATCCTACATTTTGATAGAATTGTCCATCCCTATAAAAAGTGCATTATATAGTTCCATAAACGAACTTCTATGTGTAGGTATCGTTACCAAGGGTTGACTTGGTAATTTCGAATAAATTGAGCATTGGCTAGATTTTTATAAATAAATAATATATTTGTAATGATTGGAAAAATTAAATTTTCTGGCGTTTCGTGACTCAGTGTAAACCACTTCTTCAGAGAATAAATAACCAAATCAAAATACTTTATTTTCTTATCCATTCAAAATGAATAAAATCATTCAGTCATTCTCGTGAATTATGGATTTATTAATTAGTCAGCGTTATTATTGTTAGGTGCTAGCTTATGGGTAATGTTAGCCAAGATGATAAGTAGGTTGAAAAAAAACCTGGACGCGATCAGAATAAACATAACTGTCAAAAGTCGATGACAGTGAGTATCCTAAAGAGTGTAAGCTTATTTCCTAAGTTCTGCAAAGTGTTTACAATCAGCATTTGAAGCCTCTGAATATTATAAACGAAATTCTGTAGGCTTTCTGTAGACTGATTAACCTTCTGTCATTCTCCAAGTCCTAAATATTTTATAACTTCTTGGCTAGTTGATCTACATTCATTCATGATTTTGAATATTTTGATGTTTTTATTGATCCATTCTGTTTGTTCTTGCTGTAAAGCGTCACAATTACAAATACGTTATTGCTTAATCTATCTATTTTTATGTACAATAATATTCGAAATCATGATACTTTTGTATTAATATATAAGTACATAACTTGGTTGGTCAGTTTTGAACTCCTGGGATTATGCAAAACCGACTATAAATAATTGATCAATCGTTTGAAGAAAATGATTTCCAAACTGACAAGATATAATTCTCTCTTGATATTCAACTGTATAGTTTCACTGTAATCTTGTAATCGGATCTCTTACAAGTAGTGTTTCGGAGCTAGGGAAATCTAATTAAATAATTTAATGATTTATGAAAGGTTGTGAATATAGTCAATTACTTTAAATGGCAAGTTAGTGCATCATATTTAGGATAATATGTTTTTTTTAATCTTGTTCTCTAACTTCTTCTTATTTGTTTTTTATTTCTCATTCCTCTAGATTTCTGTCTTCATACACAACTTGTCCACTTCAAATATTTCCAATCAACAATACTATACATGTACAAAACTATTGTAAACAGCATCGTCCTTGGCGTAATTTATACTATATCAAGAAACCAAATCGATCTAATCTATTCAATCATGCTTATTTAGCTCCCCCATCATCAGATTTGTTGTGGTATGAATTAGATTTTATTTTATTTCTCTTACGATATTTACGTATTATATAGAAAGATAGAGAGGTCTGTGGAAGCTAATCCAAACCAAGTTTTTTTTTCCAGAAATATATTATTCAAGATGATTTGGTTTAACATTTTTTAAAGTTGACTTCTTACCTGTTATTCTTTTGATCAACATAAATTACGTTGACAGTATAACTGGTTAGATATTTATTGATGATATTAATCTAAATGATAATCAGTGTAGTAGGAGCTACTAGTTAATCTACTCACGGTCAGATATTTTGCTCCTGTTTTTACTCAGGAGTACATCTTAATTTTGAAAAATATTTAATATTTAACACTAATCATTCACATTACTATAGGCACAGGTTGTTTCTCAATTATTTCATTGATGATGAGGGTATATCATAGCTTATCTAACTCCTAATAAGAAATATTCATTTTGCTGTAATACACTGTAATACTTGCAATGTAAAGCATTTAGTTAATACCACAAAATTCATTCACATTAGAGTTTCAAGCTTTGTTTGAAGCCATTGACATTGATCATTGTAAAGCGATTCATTAGTTCAGATGAGAACATATTTATTATTTGGTTTGTAAATCCTGTTGCTCGGTGTCAATTTGAAGCATGAACACATATAGTCGAGGTGTCCTAGGATGAGATTATCTGACAGCTATTATACCGATTAATACAAGCTTAATACTTACCAGTGATATTCATTTCATTATTTCAAATACATTTTACACTCATTTATATTCTATGAAATTTTTCAAACACTTAATCAGTACCTTTGCAAAGTGTATACAATATATAGCATTTTTTAAAATCCCTAATTCAATAAAGCTATATTCTTATGTAACTATCCACAGGCTGAATATAACTTCCACAACATATCATGGATGTGAATGGTGGTTACGTGTAGTTTGGATTCGTGTAGTTGTTGTTTTGTTGGCATTCGTCTTAACATCACCTGTTTATATACTTACTATTGTAAATTTTACTGGATTATTCGACTGGTTGGGTAGAATTTCGGTACGTACTCGATATATATATATATATATATATATATATATATATATATATATATATATATATATATATGGTTTAATTATATTTATTCCTATTTACGTATTTGCATTCATTTCTAATTATCCAAGTGAAATCGTCTGTCTGAATTTGTCATAGCCAAACGTTTTTATTAATTAACCTTGTTGTGTTTGGATTGGCAATTTATCACGTTCTAACTTCTGCATTAACTACCAAATTCCTTGTACATGTGTCTTTTTACTGATGTTCGTTTGTTTTAACTAACATCAGTATCTCAGATGTGTGATCGATGTGTTTAGGGTTTCTGTGAAAAAATGTGTCAAAGCGAACACTTGTGCTGACAAACCGAAATACAAGATTTGTGTACCATTTACTTTAGATAACAGAAGGATGAAATCTTCACGACATCACAGCATTTGTTACAAATCAGTAAGTATCTAGACTACAATGACTTTTTACTGATTGCAAAAAAATTTTACATATCAAAATTCGAAAATAGTTTCAAGACTTTTCTAGTTGAAAAGTAATCAATCGGCACATTCGAAGCACTGCATATTCATTTGAAGTGCCAGTTTTATTAGGAGTAAACTGGAAATTGTGTGGATTACTAAAATTTTCTATAAAACGTTTTATGATAGGTCAACAAAATCTGATAATAATGTACATCATAAAATATCAACTAAAATGTGTCAGTGATATGTGTATTTTTGACTTCATTGAGTCTTAGATCCATTATATTTATGCTTCTTGAGAATTTTTTACTTCCATTAAACTATTCGGTTGAAATCATTCATTTTTAGTCATTTTATTTTGTAACTTGATTGTGGTATGTCCTCCTCGTGATTCAGGATTTACAGGTCCAATTACAGTACGAATCGATAGCCTAAACGTTTGAAAATCTTTAAATTGGTTTGAAATAGACATCCATTATTGTGCTCACTCGTACTACGTTAATGCTCAGATGGTGCTGTTTGTTGAAAAAAAGTTCCGTCATTGTTAGTTGTATGACTAGTAGTTTTAATTACGTTTAAGGAAATAATTCAATCGAAAATATTTTTTATTCATTGTTTATTAAATAATTAATACTATGTTAAACTATCTAAACAATTTCTTTCAGCGTCCATTTATTTTTAAATGGGTCCCGGCAGCAATTTTAGCTGGTGTCTCATTACTTCTAACACGTCTAGTAATCATTAGTGAATATTGGACGAGACATAAGACGCGTGGAGGTTTAGAAAGTGTTATCTACCGAAATGCTTATTGCTTCTTACTTATTACAGTGTTATTATTACCTTCTCTTGGAATAACAGGGTATGTTAATCTTTTAAGTGTTCTTATAATGTTTAATCTTGGTGAAATTTAGACACTAAATGATGAGTTGTATAAATTAGTTTGAGAATTTTTGGAGTAGTAGTTAAAAATGATAAGTGACCTTCAATATTCAGTAAGTAAATGGTGAGAAATCATAATTTGATATATTGTACGTAGTAAGCATTTTGTCAATTCTCAGTTTATTTTGTCATTAAGGGTAAGCCGAATAAAATAAATGCTAGATTGTTACAGATAGTGATGGATTTTACTGTTTTTGAAAAGGTTCAACTGTATTATTCTTTTCAGTTAATTAGAAATACTTTATAAGTTAATTCACATTAAATTGTCAGATATACCTAAATAATTTTATGGGATTATATAATAAACCAAACGATTTTTTCTAACTCCTCTTCTATAATGTACCTATTTGTTACGTGGTGTTAAAGTTACTGGAATGTATGAAATAAATTTGGATATCTGTATATGTTATTGCTAATGACTTTGTTTATTTAACGACTTTCTGTTGGATAACTCGCCTGTCTCTGGATCTTTATGTTACTTCCATAGTGTTGATAAATAGTGTAATCATTTCTTCTGAGATATTAATGGTTGGATGTCTAAAATTATTTGATATCGTCAGATTAATTATATTTTTCCCATACGTGGATTAGATCTTCCAAATTTTTAATTCTAATGACTTTATGCGTGATGGATGATAACATCTACCTGGGTGGTTTTATATGAAAAACAATCCAATACATTTATTATTACACATACATCGACCTAGTCATCTGAAATTTTCGTAGACAATTTCCACTGAAAATATGTTTAGACATAATCTAATATTAAGTTAATGAATATCCTGCATGTCTAGACACTGCCTAGTGCATACTACATGTATAGATGTGTATTCTTGAGTGCTTATGTATGATGATATTGTTTATATGGTCGTTTACTAGATGTATTCTGGACTCGTACATTTTTCACAAATATCTTACTAATGACAAATTTATTTATGTTAAATATGATTGGTTGATATTTCTCATGTACTGTGTTTTGTTTTCCAGTTTTCCAGCTCTGTTACATCAACTTATAACAACTAAAGTGAATCATTCAAATCCATTTGCTTTTTATGTACCATTTCGAACAGAATGTATATTTTTACCAGACAGTGGTGCATTGTTCATCAATTATGTAGTAACATGTGCACTACTTGGAACAGGTCTACGAATTCTACGTTTGGGTCATATTTTTCAAAGTTTGGTTAGAAGACACTTTTACGCTCATTCTGTGGCAGAAAGAAAAGTTTTCTCTGAAGTAATTGGTTTTTTTATATATGACTTTGATCACAGTAATTTACTGCCACTGTTCCCATAAAATCCTTTTCTTGTCAATCACCATACAAACTTCATTATTAGCAAATCGAGTTAGATATTATTGTTTAACATCAAATGAAACCTTATTCTCTATCAAAACAACATTCAAGATAATAAAAACCACAGCTTGATTTTAATGAGTATAAAGTATTTATTGGAAAACCTTCTGAACATTAAAATCACATCAGTTGAGGATTTCACCAGAACTGGTTGTGAATATTTTTGTCTGAACACGTTAATTCATTCGAATCTCTATGCAATATACCAAAAGGTACCATCGTGAAGTGATTTATAGTAGGTGTCTAGTCACTGTAGTTAATTACTATTAAGTTGTTGATTAATTTCTGCAAATACAAAATATCTGAACTGAGTTGTATAAGTAGCTGCAGACCATTTTCGTCGGTGTCGGCACGAATATCTCAACGTTGATTGGCGATATTGATTGACATGGTTCAGAATTGGTCTCAGTTAACCAGATCTATATTCACTCTTTGTCCTAGAATACACTCACTTTTTATTCCTCAGATTTAATCTTTTTTCTTGAATTTTATTGTTTATCCCTAATCTTTCATAACATCATGAACATTGTAACTACTTCTACTTCTCTGATGTTTGTCTGGATAATTTCGTTTTCTTATTCAAATGTAGTGTAACATACAGTGCTAATATGTGCAGGTTCTACGTTGCTTGTAACTAACTAACTAACAAAGCAACCTTAACAAAAGTGAACAAAGAAATTAAGTCTAATTTTCTTCATGATTTGAACAATTGAAGCTGTTATGATTGGTCATCAATGTAATTGTCAATGAGAATAAAGTTGTAAGACATTTGAATTTAAAGATGCATTGCGTATTGAAATAACTTTATCGGAACAAATACAAGACATGTGTAGAAACTAAATAAAAATTGTTACTTGTTTGTGAATAGTTTAATAAATTGCGAACAGTATTCAACATTAATAATAATGTCTCAGACTAACATATTACAGCAATGGGAAGCTATCTTGATATTTTTCTTCGTTCTTATACATGAAAGTAACGTGATAACACTTTTGAGATGCATTTCGTGATGTGATCTGCGTTTTTCAACTAGGCTGGAGAAAAATCTGCTTAAATCTTGACTAGTATGATTAATTACACTTGTTCGTGAATACAATATCATGAAAAATTCACTTATTGAACAACTACTTGCGCCTGTGACCGACCCCTTGTGGAGGAGCATAAGCCGCCCACCAGCATTCTCCATCCAACCCTGTCCTTGGCAGTCCTTTCCAGCTGTTATTCATCCTCTTCATATCTGCTTCTTTTTCCGATGTAGTGTGTTCTTTGGCCTTCCTCTTCTCTGTTTCCCTTCTGGATTCCAAGTTAGTGCTTGCTTCGTGATATAGTTTGGGGCTTTCCGTAATGTATGTCCTATCCACGCTCAATGTCTTTTCCTAATTTCCTCTTGAGCTGGAAGTTGGTTTGTTTTCCCCCACAGTAGGTAGTTGCTGATGATATCCGACTAACGGACATTATCTTGCTTAGACGATTGTTTATAAATACTTGTACTTTTTGGTGATGGTTGTAGTTCTCCAAGTTTCTGCTCCAAACATTGATGTTGAAGATTCTGACTTTGAACAACTCTAAATACGACATACCTAAAATATCATTCTTCGAGTGGTCATTAGTTGAGTTTTGTCTTTTTTGGGTCTTTTTGTATCGATTCACTATTTAGTCATGTGTGTGTCGTGTGACTTCAACTCGCTTTATTCAATTGTCTTATTGCTGCAATCTATTGAATGCTGTTTCATTTTTATGATTTTTTTAATCATTTTTCTCAGTTTATTTAGTATTTAATGGATTATATTATTGTCGATTATCTATATTTATCTGGTTATTCAAGGCGAATTAAATGAACCAAATTTTAGGCTTATACTTAAAACGTCGAAAATCAATATTTTCTCCATCAATCTCACAACATTAGTGTTAAACGCTAAATTTTGGTGTCTTGTAGACTCTAGCACTGTAGTCCTTATGAATATTCGATAATAATACTTCTTTTTCTCTCTCTCTCTCTTTCTCCCTCTACCACACGAATTAGCCTCAACCGGAAACATTCTCATTTGGAGAAAACTATGCATTTCTGTCAGTTGTTCATACAATTATTATTGCTTACACACCAGTTTGTCCAATCATCTACGTCTTTGGTCTGTTGTATTTTCTATTTAAATTTCTTATCGATAAGTTTATGCTTGTATGGATTCATGAGCCGTTGCAATCAGATATACGTGGTTGGACCGAAACGTTAGTTTCCTCAGTATTCATTAAAATTGATTGGTTTGTTTATCGGTTATAATGTAAAATAAGATAGACGAGTGTATCATTAAGGATTATATGCGCGTCGCCTTGTAAATATTATTACTTTGTCTAGTGTATATCGGTCCAAGATGTATTACCACATTAGCTCAGGGGGATGTAATTGTTTAGAGAAAGAGTAGTAACAGTATCAGTAGTAGTAGTGGTAGTAGGAAAAATTAGACGTAAAAAAGGAAAAAAAGGTATATTGAGATTCCGGGACTCAGATTCTGAAAAAAGATTGGGAGTGTAAGTGCCTGCGCCATTGCGAACAACTCTGAGCCATGCCACACAAATTTGCTAACCATTTGTTACAATAATCATGCGGACTCCATCGAAGTAGTCTTCATCCATTATCATGGGTCAGTCTGCTTGTTTATAACTTCATGAATCGGTGCTTTATTTGACCTCCCCTAACTTTCTTCCAACCAACTCCTACACCATACATCATCGCCAGTTGAGGTATTCTATGTTTGGGCATAGACTACATATCCCAACCACATCAGTCGAAAAGAAGTCCATACCTTATGCCTTACTTCGACATTTCTCACTCGGTTATCTCACGATATTGATGAATGTCTTCTAATCTTAATGCTCATCTTTTACAGCCACAAAGTAGAATGGATCCACCTGCTGTATAGTAAACTCATCCTTTGATTGGTAGATAAATGTTGTATCCACACCATAAGTAACTCAAGTTGGCATGTTCAATCGAGCCTTCTTGATTATTTAATTACCATAAAAGCGAATAGAGACTGAGGAATCAAAATTAAGACACTAGATATCTGGTTGTCTAAACTTGTTGATACAAAATAAACCACAACATTATTGCTTACTATTATTCAAATATCACGGCTACCGAAAATATGTTGCGTTATACTTGGTTGCGTAAAGTATTTATTAATAATGTCAGTTTAAAGCGTATATTTCATTTGCTTAATTCCTGTTTATAGTTTAAAGTAACACTCTGGATGTCCAGAATTATACTGAGACGCATCAGTCTCTGTTTTAAATTATCAATATTTTCTCCAACCACAAGTTATGTAGTGTCTTTTTTCACTGGATTTTAGGTTTCTAAGGTTTCAGAGCAAAATACAAAGTGAATACTTTAAACTGTAGTTTTATTCGTACATAAATAGTATCTATGTTCTTACTTATGAGAAACAGTAAGTGTTTTGGGACATAGCTAATTCTTTGTGTTTCACTGATCTGTTCTTTTATCAAAGCTTATATCGTACTGACGACATTCATTATATTATCAGTCAGTCAGTAACAACGTAGAACTTCGTACGTTAACGATGAATCTTAGTATTGTTTATCCTTAGTTTATTGTCTCACATCCTTACGCTTGACAGTCACTCGTATATAATTGCAGTTTTGGGACAGTTAACGTTAATTTCTGGTTGTGTATTTAGTACTGATCACTATTAATTTTTACCAAAAATCACGATATAGTTTAGTGTAGTTTTAATGCCAAATATACACTGATCACTGCTGTAGGCTAACCAGCTTGGGTTTATTTGTCACCCGGCGACCAGTTTATGTAAATAATCCGGTTTTAGTAGTATTATTTCTGAATACAACTTGAAACAAAATGAATGTCAATTACAAATGAGTTTTTTTTGGAATTTCGAAGATACGCAGTATTTATGTATCTCATGTAGTACAAAACTTTCTCAAATGTGCTTTTAATACGTTTCCTATTCACAAAGTTTGATTACATTCATCAATTTATAAAATTCAGTTACTTATATTATTGGTTGTTACAAAAATAGTCTTAGATTACTTTAATACTGAAATGGTTTTATGTAATTTTATTTGGTGTTTATTACAGCGACAAAAAGAATTATCAATATATTTACCATTTGAAATGGTTTCTTCAATCAACCCGATTTAGTTTATCTGGAGTTTGTATGGCATCTATCAATGTGTTTGCTTTTTATTCACTACGATGGTCTTCTGTAGAACTACGCCCACTGATCATTGCCTATTTTGTTTTGACTGTGGTTACGGTAGTAATATCTGTGATATTTTCTGCCCTTGTCAATTATCATTCATCTTCTCTTATATGCCCTGTTTCTGTATGCAGAAAATATTCCGGTCATTATCGTAAATTAATTGATTATAATCAAGTAAGACTTTTATACTAGTGTTTTCTCCGTAAAATATTTAATCATAAACTATCGTCTTTTTCTCGAAATGATGTCGCTGATGTTGCTTTTACTTAACTAGACCGCATAATCATGATGTATTCATTGCATTGATATGCGAAATTCCTCATTATGAATTTCGAAATGAATCAGTTTATATTGCTTGTTCTGTTGTCCCACTGAGTCCTAGTTATTGTACTTGCGATAAGCTCTTCCAGTCTTTATTCTAAATTATTCTGATTCTTGTCACTTGATAACCAACCTATATGTGTATTTCCTCTTTTAAATGAGTAATATTTTAACTCTACTTCTATCTCCAATCTACTTGGATATGTTTTTGGTCACCGCTCTTTAACTTCCATTATCTCAATAATATATATGATTTATTCGATAAACAAAATTGGCTGTACACTTGTTAGGTGATGTAAGGACGTTACGAAGTAGATAGCTGGCTTATCACATGTTGTATGAAGTAGTTAAAATAAATGGCTAACCAATCACCGGTGAAATAGTAAGTCTCAACTGTTTTATAGTGCGTTGATGTTGCCTGGGATAGAAATTACAACATGAAAATTAAGTTGTGAAAGTAAGAGAATACCAAAACTCTATTATTCAACTACTCACATGACCACTTTTTCATATATGTTAGGCATAAACATTCGTTCATATTCCGTTTGATGTAGTCTTCTCAAAAATCTTGTAATTAATGTCTTTCGTTGTACACTTTAGATGTGTACGTCGCATCACTTTGTGGCCAGCTTGGTATTTTCGTTCTTACAATTTCTAATACTATTCTATATTGAAATAAATGAGAGGATTCATAGCACAGGTGGATACTTTTAGTTATATTGCGTTCTCTACGTTGTATAATTTAATTGTAGAATTTTGTTTATCGTTCCAGATAAAATGATTAGAGTCTAATTTATGTAGAACTAACCTTTATGATTGTTCCACAAATTTATAAAACTCAACTCTATCGAAAACTACACCGTGACTTCAGATATGAAAAGTTTCTGATCTTATATTGTGATACTACCCTAAATTGTAATTTTGCATCTCGAAATAAAGAATTTTGTCTTGCGTTTTAATGTTCAATATATCACTTCTATCATACAATGTTTATTATGGTTCTTATAACATTTCTCAACTGCATCATCTCACTTCTCCCTTACCCTAAACATTGACACCGCTGTTACTCAGTCAATTGTATAGATTGATGAATTAATTGTTAAAGCAGTGGGTTTCCAGCCGTTCAGTTTCATTTTCCAATCCCTAACCCCCCCAACAGCTAAGTGTATATGGCTTTGAACTGAGTAAATAAAATATGTATTTCATAAATGAGTTAATCTAAATAAATTAAATAAAATATGATAAATGTTCAGCTTAACTTGTTGTATGAGTGTTGAAGGATGTTAGTTACCTGATAAAAATTAAGCAAAATGTTCTGAGCCTGTGTAAAGCTATGTTGAAGGTGTTTTTGTTATTTGCGGATTCCCATTGATATATAATTATATATGGTATAATTGGAATTCACTCACTTTAGATTTTATAGTCGGACTTCGGTGTAACATTTCACAGAAGTAAATTTATTACTATAATCACTAAGATTTTTCACTATGTTCGCCTGTATATCAATCTAATAGGTCGTTGTTAATTTGAGAAATTCTGTAACACTATTAGTCCTTAACATTCAGATTGCATTAGGTTGTTCGTGATTTATAATTTTTATATCTCACGAGGAAAATATTTTGAGACTTTTGTTGAGTGCACAATGTTGTGACGAAATAATGAATATTTATCTTAATAAACCACTTCTATTAACTTATACTCATTTTAAATCATAATTCAGTAAATTATGTTGTTATACTTATTTTAGAACAAAATGACCTCCAGCGCAGTTATATGCACTTGCCCTAAATTATACCTTGATACCTCTAGAACTGAAAATGATTACACAGTTCCTGTTTTACGTAAGTTCAAATTGTGAGAAAATTCATATCAGAATACATGTTAGCAATCTTATAAACAGAAAAAAACTAAACTTATATTTTGGTTCTGATTGTTACTTTTTGTATATTGAAATGTAATTTACCGTTCTACAACAGACCATACTGACTTCATTGTTATGTTTCCAATATCTTATTTTGAATACTTTTTTCATATTGAACACAGAGTTAAGGGATTTAATCAGATTATATGAATATAAAACAATAATTTTTCCGATTATCAATCTTCTTACCGCTTTCAAATGGGCATTGTTTTGACACTAAAATCAATAGGCAATCTGACAATAAAAAGATCTTATGATTTGTCAAGTTCTTTTAATAAGTGTAAAATTCACAATATATAATTCAAATATATTTATCATACTCAACCGATAAAATCAAGTTACATATACACAAAATACCCGTTGAGTTTATACAGTTGTTAGTCTCTTATTGATGTTGTTTTTTATTTTTTCATGTCATCAATCACGACAAATTTCTTTCTGTGACTCAAATCATACAAGTTTAAATTGATTATTATGGAACAAATCCCTTAATTGAGCTAATAATATCCTTATAAGCGAGTGATGTGCAGCTTCCCAGTTTGATAGTGTGTTTAAGATAAAGGATGAACCTGTCGTGAAGTTTGTAAAACATCATGTCAGAATTTCCGAATGATGATTGCTAAATTCCTAAAGACGTTTTTATGTTACAACAGGTCCATTAATTGTTTACATAGATAGTTGTAGGTTTTATGTTAATTCAATGAGTCGATCTAAGCTAGACCACTATTAAAAACCTGGACTCACTGGACGGCCGTTTCATCTTAGTATGGACACCCAAATGCCGTGGTACGACCGAGGGTGGGGAGAGTCCGCTCTCCCTCTCAAAATGCTCTCACATGACCACGTGCATACAACCGCTGCCAGGGAATTCCTGTTCACTTTTTTCTCGCGGCATTACTGTTTTTTACGAAATTGAGAGGACGAAAAGCGAACGTCCGGCTCTGTAACCGAGTTGGTAGGTACGAAGTATCCACCTGGAGGAGTTCGAAAACCCTGATTTCAAACCAATTGTGAACGTGGGCTCCAGTATCCTGAGAGAACAAATGGCGTACGAACTAATCGTTAGTCACCGACTACCATGGGACTGCATTTCCTAACGTCGCTCCACTGCCTTGTGGATCAAACTTTTAGGTCGATGACTCCGGGTGTGGCCCCCTAAGGAAACCGCCTGCTTCGGTTTGGGCACCCGGGCAGTGTCACAGCCCATACAAATCAAGTGACTCGTGTGGCACATTCATTCGGTGCTTCTTCGTATCAATATTTATGTGGTCGAATAAATAAACTAAACAATGCGCATCCACGATCCCACATGTGGAATAATAAGTTTCATGATGTTTCAGCATAGGATGGCTAGTTTGTAGTCTCCTGACGTCAACTGATTGGGGGGATATGTGCTATGATAAGGTCTGAACCGAATGTAAAATGTGGAACGGAGATTTGATTTGATGAGGAGTTTACTTTTTTTCCTATTCCTGTTTTTATCTACTCACACTGTCTATACTTTTCTCAGGTTTGTAATTATGTTATTATAATATCTACAGATTCTAAAATTGATGTGAGATTAAGGTTTGGGTCGGTATTAGTGCACTTATCTATGCTACAGGGATCATAGACCTGGTTCCGTATTGTGGACTTACTGTGATTCGACCACTTAATCTATGGGATCTGACGTCGCTCTGTATGCTGAATCATCCTATCGTAACGGTCAGTAATATTGGTTTGAAAACCTCTGATAGTTGCATTTTAGGTTGGCAATACTATAATATATTTAATACGTAAAGAATAAGTCTGCTGCATGACCAAGAATGGTTCTGCGTTGACGGCTAATGTAAATTGTAGTTTAGCTTGAAGAGTCATGTTATTAGGAACCAATGTCACCACAGACTAGTGTTTTGAGTTTCGTTCTACTTAGTATTGTTTTTCGGCAGTTTCCGTCTTAGGCTATTACACTTCAGGCGTACCTGTGTGAAACGATTTCTTTCTTCCTTGAGTGCAACTGTTTTTGGACGGATTCATAACGATAGCCAGAGGATCTTCTTTAAAGCCGACATTTATCAACTGTCCCAACTAATGTGAGGTATAGCATGGTTGGCGAGATTATTCACGCATATGATGGTGTATGGTTCCCTAAACATTATGAAATCAGGTACCTTACCTTACACCTGTTACTCCTCGTGAAGGAGCATAGGTCGCTCACCAGCATTCTCCATCCAACCCTGTCCTGGGCAATCCTTTCCAGCTCCTTCCAGTTGTAATTCATCCTTTTCATATCTGCTTCTATTATCCGACGTAATGTGTTCTTTGGCCTTCCTCTTTTCCGCTTCCCTTCAGGATTCCAAGTTAGAGCTTGCCTCGTGATGCAGTTTGACGATTTGCGTAATGTATGTCCTATCCATTTCCATCGTCTTTTCCTAATTTCTTCTTCAGCTGGAAGTTGGTTTGTTCTCTCCCACAGAAGGCTATTGCTGATGGTATCCGGCCAATGGATGTTGAGTATCTTGCGTAGACAGCTATTTATAAATACTTGTACCTTCTTGATTGTGGTTGTTGTAGTTCTCCAAGTTTCAGCTCCATACAGTAGAACTGCCTTGACATTCGTATTGAAGATTCTCACTTTGATATTGGTTGAAAGTTGTTTTGAGTTCCATATGTTCTTCAATTGTAGGAATGCGGCCCTTGCTTTGCCAATCCCCGCCTTTACGTCTGCATCCGAACCTCCTTGTTCATCGATGATGCTTCCCAGGTATGTGAAGGATTCTACATCTTCCAGAGTTTCGCCATCAAGAGTGATTGGATTGCTGTTCTCCGCTTTGAATTTGAGGACCTTGGTTTTCCCTTTGTGTATACTGAGGCCTACTGATGCAGAGACTGCTGCTACACTGGCTGTCTTCATCTGCATCTGTTCGTGTGTACGTGATAGGAGGGCTAGGTCATCTGCGAAGTCCAGATCGTCTAATTGATTCTGAGCTGTCCATTGTATTCCGTGTTTTCCTTCAGATGTTGAGGTCTTCATAATGCAGTCGACCACCAGAAGAAAGAGGAAGGGAGAGAGTAAACAGCCTTGTCTGACTCCGGTCCTTACTTGGAATGCATCCGTCAGCTGTCCTCCATGCACTACTTTGCACTGTAGTCCGTCGTATGAGTTCCGGATAATATTGACAATCTTCTCAGGAACTCCGTAGTGTCGAAGAAGTTTCCATAATGTCCTCCTATCTACACTGTCGAATGCCTTTTCATAATCAATGAAGTTGATGTATAGTGACGAGTTCCACTCAACTGATTGTTCGACGATGATCCGTAGTGTTGCAATTTGGTCTGTGCACGACCGATCCTTTCGGAATCCAGCTTGTTGATCTCGAAGTTGGGCATCTACTGCATCCTTCATCCGGTTCAGCAACACTCTGTTGAAGACTTTCCCTGGTATTGACAGTAGTGTAATGCCTCTGTAGTTTTCACATTTGCTCATATCTCCTTTCTTTGGAATCTTGATGAGGTGTCCTTCTTTCCAGTCCATCGGCACTTGTTCCTCCTCCCAAATCTTTTTGAATAGAGGGTAAAGCATGCTTGTGGTTACTTCGACGTCTGATTTCAGTGCTTCAGCTGGTATGTTGTCGGGTCCTGCTGCTTTTCCGTTTTTGATTTGTCTGACGGCCATTCTAATTTCTTCCGTCGTTGGTGGGTTGACCTCTATAGGAAGATCTGTGTGTGCTGCTTCGATGTTCGGTGGATTCATTGGAGCCGGCCTATTCAGGAGTTCCTCGAAGTATTCTACCCATCTGTTTCGCTGTTGTTGAATTTCGGTGATTGGCTTGCCTTCTTTGTCTTTGACCGGCCTCTCTGGTTTACTGTATTTCCCTGATAATTTCTTCGTTGTATCGTAAAGCTGTTTCATGTTTCCTTCTCTAGCAGCTTTTTCTGCCGTCGTTGCTAGTTCTTCAACGTATTTCTTCTTGTCGGCTCTAATGCTTCTCTTCACTTGCTTGTTTGCTTCTATGTATTCAGCTTGTGCTTGGACTTTCTCTGCTCGTGTTCGGCTGTTGTTAATTGCTGTCTTCTTGTTCTTCCTTGCTTTGATCCTGTCCAGTGTTTCTATAGAGATCCATTCCTTATGATGGTGTTTCTTTAGGCCCAGAACCTCTTGACACGTTGAAGTCAATGTTTCTTTGATGCCTTTCCAGTTGTCCTCCATGGTAGTTTCTTCTTCCTTCAGTAGATCTTGAAAGGCTTGGAACCTGTTGTTGAGAGCTATCTTGAATTCATTGAGTTTGTCAGTATCTCGAAGGAAGGCTGTATTGAACCTTTGTATTGCTGTTTGTCCACTTGTCCAGTTCTTTCTTAGCTTCAGTTTTAAATTGGCTACAACTAGGTGGTGATCTGAAGCTACGTCAGCTCCTCTCCTGGTTCTCACATCTTCCATTGTCCTTCGGAATTTTTTGTTGATGCAAATATGGTCTATCTGGTTCTCTGTAGTGTGGTCCGGTGAGATCCATGTAGCCTTGTGTATACGTTTGTGTGGAAATATTGTGCCTCCTATGACTAATTTGTTGAATGCACATAGATTTGCAAATCTTTCTCCATTTTCGTTCCTCTCTCCCAGTCCATGTCGTCCCATAATATCTTCATATCCAGTGTTGTCTGTTCCGACCTTGGCATTTAGATCTCCCATCAGAATGGTGAGGTCCTTTCTTGAGCATTTCTCTATGATTGACTGCAGCCGCTCGTAGAATTGATCTTTAATTTCGTCGTTGCTATCATTGGTGGGTGCATAACATTGGATAATATTCATTAAGATCCCCTCCTTCTTTGTTTTGAATGATGCTTTGATGATTCTGGATCCGTGGGATTCCCATCCTACAAGTGCATTTCGTGCTACTTTGGACAGCATTAGAGCAACTCCCTGAGTGTGTGGAGCATTTTCCTCTTCGTGACCGGAGTATAGCAGCATCTCTCCCGTAGCTAGCCTTTTCTGTCCAGCTTGGGTCCAGTGGGTTTCGCTGATTCCCAGTACTGCCAAGTTGTATCTCCTCATTTCCGTTGCTATTTGGCTGGTCTT